GGGGGGGGTGTCATACTTTACTTTTCCCATAATTTTCAATGTCTAAAAAAAACCCCAAAAAACAAATATCTCATGATACATCTCTTTTCACGAAGGCAGAACAGTGCTAAACTCATCTAATAACACAGCCAATCACTGAACCAGTTGTGTTGCTGGACTAAGGTGGTAAAGAGGGAGAGCTGAATTGGCTCAACCCACAAAAGGCCACAACACAATTCACAGTAGAGGAAGAGAGAGAACAAATGTGAGAGTCCTTTTTGATGCTGAAAAAAAAAGAAGAATGCAAACCACAGGCAAAAACAACCCATGACAGTACGTGACGTACCAGTACGAAACAGACAATCACGAAGATTGGAACCATCTTCCTTCAACAGATCGCGGCCTCAGGGCTAACCTGTCGTATCTCCAATTTAAATAAAACAAAGAAAACAGTTCATAACACAGAGTAGTGAGCTTAAGAAGAAGTCACATTTTTTTGGTTTAAAAAAAATGGAGATACGACAAGAAATGAAAGCACTGTGAGGTCACGAGATTGTAAGAAGGAAAACCTTCTTTGGAAAACATAGACAATATCAGTTTAGTGTAGTTTGTGCTCACAAAAAGAAAATGTAGTTTGTGTACAATTCATCGACGTCACTATGGTCAGCCCAGCTGATATCAGAAAGTAATCATAACACGAAGATGCGCCCTTGTTGAGCGATTAAGTTAATTATACAAACCCACATCTCTTCACCTCTGACTGTGAGCTTTCTCTCCCACAATCCCACACATCTAATCATCACAGTCCTCCCCCACATTGCAGACAAAACCTGCTCCTCATTGTTATCTCCCTTGACCACACATCTATTCATCATAGTTGGCTTATATACTTATACTTGTCTCACTAATTTTGTTATCAAGTATACACATATATCATCTCAGTTTTTCTCCTTGTTCCTGATCAGTCAACCGTACTATTGCAGGTACATTTTCTACACACAAAAATACCCAAAATTTTATTTCTAAAAATGCCTTCCACTTTCAGATCCAAATATATATATATATAATATAATGTCTACCGTAGCTAGGTTTTACTTTGGTTTAGCGACCCACCTAAGAGGCGCTAAAAAAAAACCCAGTCACCTGACATAAAATGAATACATTTTGCAAACATTGTGCTGTATTTTTAGCCGAAATGTCTCCCACTTCCATTATATATGCCCTTCGACAAAATCATCATAGAACACTGAAACACATGGCATGATATGATTGTCACTTACAGTCCCCCACAGAAAAACATTCACCAGCCTTGAGGTGACTTCTCTCTCACTCTCACAGATAGTGCTACTAGCGGCTAGGGTCATTTTCCGCTCAGCTCTCAGCTACAAAGATGATGGAGACGTCACCAAGTATAAAAAAACCCAACAAATTGTATCACACTAAAAAATTACGTCAAAGTGAAAATATCGTGACTCGTTGCTCGAAATATATAATAATAAATCATGTGCAGCATTTCTATAAATAGAACGACAAGCAAAACCAGACATAACTCAGCCCACAATGGGAAGCTCAAAGAGTGGCAACAGCTAACACAACAGTATGGGACACACTGCTGCACTCACGAGACACCCACAGTTCACACCTACAGCAGCATCCTCACCTTCTCATGATCTCAATGAAAGACATAATCAGCATTATATAAAAACCTGCACTCATCTCTCTCTCTCTCTTTCTTTCTTTTCCTTCCTTATCCAATTACCCTCTCCTCCCTTGTCACTCTCTCTCAGTTTTCCTCACCAAATCCCGCCACCCCGAACCCTCCACGGAGTGTATGTAGTAACAGGTATAGAGATCAAAGTCTTGAGGCTGCTTGTACGGACACCCATGGCCCCATCTTTCTTCACACACATTAAAACCTCTCCTCACAAAAATAAATCACTTGAACAAGATGTATACCAAACACTTGAACTAGGCCTACCTACATTAAATAGAATCTTCTTTTAAAAAAAACCAGAGGGATCATTTATCAAAAAGTATCAAAGAATATCAACAGTCATTTATTATTATATATTTCTTTTTTTTTTCGATTTAAATCCAGTACGAAAAACACAAATCACAGCTTCTTTCTTTAAAAAAAAAACTTTTCTTACCCTAGAGAAAATGTTGGCTGCCTACAAGCTCTGTGACACAACTCCAGACAGGCAGTTAATGTCAAAACACATGATATCACATTTCTTCGAATATGTTGCCTTACATTTACTAAATTCATCCTTTGAAGCTTGAAATTACCATACACATCAATGGTATTATGTTCTAGTTGTATAACTGAGGACAACTCTTTTTTCTTGATCTAAAACCATTGCTAAGGTCAGTCAGTGGGTTCTCAATAAAAACTATTGTGTCAGCATGCACTATGAATAATTAGAAAAGTACCGAGGCCTAACCTATTCGAGGTGTTTTCTATAACAATTTTTTGGCCATTCTCTTTTTTTAACAGTCTACTAAAAAACTGTTCCAGAAACCAGTTACACAGCATAACACTATCAATACAATTTTAAATTTAAAACAAAAGGGAAGCGTTCTGAACTATAAGGTTTTTTTTCTCCATAAATGCAAGTTGAAAATTCTACACGCTTCCCTCCCAGTCTCACCACCCGTGTCCATCGGTGTGTGACAGAACACAGCCACACGTACATCCACCAACAGGCACACAGAACACAGGCACACAGAACACAGCCACACGTACATTTACATCCACCCACAGGTACATAGAACACAGCCACACGTACATTTACATCCACCCACAGGCACACAGAACACAGCCACACGTACATTTACATCCACCCACAGGCACACAGAACACAGCCACACATACATCCACCGGTCTGTGACAGAACACAGCCACATGTACATCCACCCACAGGCACACATCTACCACGGACTGCACAAACTCTCGCCGTAACGGACAGGGGCACATGAAAGTATCACAAGCTGTGCACCAAATTCATTATGAGAAAAGGACAAAAAATGTTGGTCTGAGAAACAAGTAGATGAGATCCTTACTGTAAACCAGGTTTCTTTTCACAAACATCTAATCTCTCACAAATGTGGAGGGTTGCACTCCCCAAGCATCAAATTTCTGCAATCATTAAACATAACCTATGAAAACAGCATTTCCAAAAATGCAATATACACATGGGTGAACCTACTCCCAAAAAAGAAGAACTAAATGCTTATGAGAAGAAACCTGCTTTGCAGTATCTGGTTGTAAACATCCAACAAAGAACCCCTCTTAGAGCTCTATATACCCCACAGCTGCCAGCAAGGCCTGCGTCCGGACCATCCTACGGATGTGATCAAGGCTTGCAATAGGACGACAGATTCACCACTGTCTTGTGTGTCTGCTGCCTCCACATGGCACCTCGTCTTGGAGAGTTCTGGAGCCGCAATCGCCTCAACATGCACATGCACTCACTCACAAGTCTGAACATCACCTTGACTGAAACTTGCCCGTAATTGTAGTAACAACTTCCATCATCTTGCAAAGACAACGTCTAAACCCCAGGTGTAGGTGTGGGTCTGTGAGGCAGACTCGTAGACTACTCACACTCACATGACTCAAAATCTCAAGCTCTGATGAGTTGATGCATTAACAACAGTATTCAACACCTCTCTTGTGTTGCGTGTACATATGTAAACGTTAAATTCTGAGCTGGCTGGTGTATCACCACAGTCCCCAACACGTCACCTGTGCTGCGTCTAGTCATGACAACGTTAAGTAGTCCTCACAGTCGCCGGGAAGATCTCCGCGGCCTCCCTTGAGGTGCGGGTGATGGCGTCTCACTTGTTGACTTGTCTCCCGACTCTGCTCGTTTCTCAGCATTCAAGGACCTCCGAGAGCGTGAGCTTATGGCACTTCCTGTTGGAGCCTCGGTAGATGCTGCCGCGGTCGACCCCTGACTTAGCCTCTGCCTTTTGGAGGCGCTGGGTTCTCTGACTGTCTCTTCACTCCCACCAGAAGAGTCAGTGTTGAGATTCCTATCCTCCTCTATTTCTCTCTTTGACGCCCTCTTCTGACCAGACCCAGCAGACTGTGAAGCCTCGCTAGTTCTAGAAGAAGATCTGACAGATGGCGCTGCTGCTGCCGTGGTGGCTTCAGTTGCGGTGTCGGGATCGCTGAGCACAGCCGGTGTCTCGGGAATCTCTGACCGTGGCTTGGCCACATCTTGCTGTTCCGTAGACTGGCGGCTGACCGCATTGGGACTGACCTTGGACTGAGATCTTGACAAAGACGCTCTCCGCGTCCCCACCGGGATGTTCTCTGCCCCTACCGACGCTGCCTTGGCCTCGTCTGTCTTCGACGGATGCCGACTTTTCTTTTCTCTCCCGTCAAGGTCAGACCTACCTGAGCTCTTTGATCGCTTACGGCTGGACGGACCAGACTTGTCGCCTGTGGCCTCCAACTCATTCTTGGTGAGCTGCTGGACGTTAAGAACCACCGGGTCTTCCCGTGGGTGAGCTACCAGCACGTGAGTCTTCATGGTCATAGTGCTGCCAAACACCTTGCTGCAAAAACGGCACGGGATGTGGCGTATGATTGGCTCGTGATCTTCTTCGGGTTCGTCATCATCGGAATTATCAGAGTCCTGCTGTAGGAGAGACACCTCCATGATGCAGTCAAACAAATTCTTCATACCCGGCACGTCTGCAGGCGTCTTAGCATCTGCTGACTTCTCACAGTTTGAAACAATCTTATCAGCGACTTCTTTCATGATCTTGTGCGAGGGCATATCCGGGTTGCGCAGCACATTAGCTAGCTCGTTGATGTCGATGGGAGGGAGACCGGGTGTGTCTTTCTTGTCCACGTCCACCACTAGCGGTTCTGACAGTCCCTTCCTACTCTCCACTAACACATCACGAGCAACATGGTCTCCGGAAACCACACCGCTTCCCTTGTCATCCACTTCTTTCTCCACAACAATTACTGTGGGAGACTTCTCAATCACGGGCTTCGAAACCCCCGACATTTTTACACAAGTTACAACAGCTTGACTATCAGCAAAATCAACTTGTACTATTCAACAACAAATACCACACAACATATCTGTCCAAGAACTCAGGAGAATCTCACGACACCCACGATGACACTGTCACTGTGGCTCATCATCTCCCAGATCACACTGATTTTTCCTGGAACAACGAGAAGGACAAAGAGAACATTAAGAAAATGCAAAGAAAAAAAGCAGAAAAGGGGAATGTGTCAAAGTGTCAACACAAGAAAATAAAGAGCTAAACAACATAAAGTCAACAGGGAGACTGCAAAGATAAAGCCCGATCGAACATGATATTATAACTTATAATAATGCATACTAGTCACACTTACAAAAATTTTCTGGTTTAAGAATGAATTTGGAAAATATTCAACACTGGGTGTACTATTCTATTTGTGAAGCGCTCAGAGCCTGTGTTCTTTAATCGGGCTTGAACGCTATATGGGTGTCACATCTGTTACGATTAAAAGACTTAAAAACTTAACATAAACTATGAAAAAAATATGGAGAAACTCTTAAGTTCAAAGAATGCACACATCTGCTCTAAAATAAAAAGTTGTACCATTCGCCTTTGAGGGGAAGACAACATGGTTCTAATTCAGCTGCTGACACAGACTTTTCCACTGTTACAGTTTCAATTTGAGATACTAACAACAGGAAGATGGGAAACTACAAGTACAAGATAGTTCAGTCCCTTAAAAACGCTAACTTGGTAACCTGAGTGTGCTGAGAAAGTTTTAACTTTTAGTAGGCCTACTTTGCTCCTATACTCTTTGCATGCACGATACTTTCCCCCCATAATGAAAATAGAATTCTACAAGTAATCACAGAGAGAGATGTTGCCCCAAGTAATGAGGACATCTTTTAATTTTGCACCTCAGACAGAGGATTCAAAATTGTTAATATCTTCCAATTTTAATACTTGCTGCGATAAAGAAGGGCAGCAAATTTTTACTTTTAGACCCGCACTTAGATTTTAGATCTAGATGCACTGTTTTCAGGGCTTAACTGATATTATAATTTTTGCAGCAGAACACATGGTCACAATTTGCAAATCAATTGTTTTCAAGAAAATATCAAACTTAAAAATACAAAATATCAAATTACATTTAAATACAGGGGGGCATGCCATGCATGTTGTTAAAGTGTCAAATATTACTACCCAATTGGTCTTGTCGTACTAAAAGTTATTTGTGTATAAAAAATATCTACACATCTCAAACTCATAATTTGCGGGGGATATAAAGTCAAAATAAGGGTAAAAAGCAAAAAAATGATGGAAAAAAGTGCTTTATATCTGAACGTGGGACGGGCCAATGAGTAAAATAATAGCAGACAATTGATCCACAAGCTCTAATACGGGGTTATCATTAATATTGGCACGATCAGGTCGGTTTGGTTGGCAGTGCTAGCCAGATTGAGCGTGCAAGTGACCATCATGGCACAAGAAACCGATTGCCAGACTTGTAGCCTAAAAAACAACGAAGTGTTTGTTTTCAGGCCGTGAATTGGGGGATCGGGGGATCGACAAACTGTTAGGGCGATCCCCCTTTTATAAGAGCACCCCATATATAAGATTTTTTAAAATCCATATTGTGACAGAGACCTCAGCTTGAGAAATTTCAAGTTATATATCCAGCAATGCTTTATATTCAGCTATGGATGTAATAACGGGGTTCACTAAGAGAATCAAATTAGTAGGCAGTGGTAATGATGGAATTAATTTGATACCTCATTGAACGTACACTGTCCAAATTGCAGTTAAAGGTTAAAAAAATTAGTGACTTTTAGATCTGTCTTGGAAACTTCCCAGTAGGCCTGATTTAATTATCTTTCCCAGTGGCGAAGCGCCTAATTTTGGAACATCGTCACAGTCAAATTCACCCATAGACGTAGACATTATAAAATATAGAAAAATGTAACCTACATAATCACCAACGTATGCCTAATATTCAAAACAATTGCATTGCCACACAATATCCTGTTCACCCCTTTTGGGCCACTCCATAATGCTGCCTGGAATAAGATTATTGTGTGTCATCTCTTTCATCTGGTTCCTTGTCTCGCTTTGATTACCTTGTCAAACAAGTCAGCCTTCCCCCCTGATCTTTCCAGCCTCACACATGAAGAAACTTCACTGTACTGAGGCTTTAATTTGATACAAGACCTGGAAGAAGGGGTGATCGTAACCACGCTTCCCCTAACCTTAGGTTGGATCTTCTTCCTCTAATAACCCCCCCCCCCCCCAAAAAAAAAAAAAAAAAAAATTTTTTTTAAATATATAGTCTAGATCTATATATAATTAATTAAAAAGTGTTTGTGTAAAAAATAAATAAATAAACAAATAAATTATTTTAAAAATAAAAAAATAACCAACTTGAAGCAATGCTTTCTAGAATTAAGACATACAAACAATCTAGATCTATTTGTGTGTGTGTGACAGTAGCCTAGGTCTAGCGTGTGTAGGCAGCAGGCCCACATGCGTGGGTGGAGGCATGGCAAGTACATTATTGAATTAGGCTCACAGAATTCTAAGAATTCTGTGATTAGGCTACATTGTGTTCATCTGTAAATTATTAATAATAGATTCTAGATCTATATTATATCTGGCAAGATCTGCTTTGTGTCAAATAATGTTGACTTGAATTATGGTTGTTGGGTAGGCTAGGCTTATTCATTTAGTCGTTTTTTTTTCTAAAGGGGGTCCTGACCCTGAGTCAAGACTACAAACTGCACGCATAGTAGTTAGATCTATATATAGATCTATATACCTAGTCAAGTCAGTCACCAGACTGCCCAGGGCCAGGACAGGACGACCATCGAACCCGCTTTATATTTACTTCGGCGGTGCAGTTTCTAGATCTAATTAGATCTAGGGATGAAATTATTGGGGGCTTTGTGAAAAAAGAGTGACCTTGGCTACTGGCTTTGGTTAAATATCGTAAAGCACAGGTCTAGATTAGATCTAGATCTATTAAAAAAATAAATAAATAAACATCGCAAGGTTAAAAACAAGGGAAGCGTCGATGCAATAATGTTAGAGCGATCGCTCCCCCATAGCCCCTCCCCTCTCATGTCGTATACCAACCGTCCTTGACAGTTCACAGGGTCACGAAAATGCGGCCATATTAAGACGCGAGCATAGGACTATTTTCTCAGCCAAAACGAATTTTTTTGCCACTAAGCACTTCATTTCGGAAGCAAACCATTGCTTCTCTGCATTTTAATTACTCTTTTCCGATCTAAAATGATGTGTAATCAAATTTTCATGATATAAATAAGAGTTTCCAAAAGTCGGTGAAAACAAACAGGTCAATCCACGCAACCGTCACTTGACCGATTTCCACACACATTTCAGAAACAAAAATTTAATAATTTACAGTTTCATATAATTTCTAATATAGATATACATTACTTAACAAAATCAGTATAGCTGCCTGTCATATATTTATATAAAAACACGTCAATTAACAAACTCAAACGAAGAGGAAAAGTGAAAACCTGACGAATATCAACCCTGTTCATTGTCACAGAGCAGAGATGATGAAAAGTGAACTGACCGACTTTTGAGCAAGCTTGTATTTTGAGTAAACAATGGCCATAACAATATAAAACTTCGGACAAGTTTATCCAGTACGACACTCACGTTTGGAAATCACAATTTGAAGAGTTGAGCGGGTGATTTTAGTCTTTGACCAGAGAGAATGTCTCTCGAACACACACACAATGTTTACCAGCCAGGACACCGGTCCGACAGAGATCTTGATGTATACACACAAGCGTAGGGGAAGGAACCAATGACAGGTCTTTCTAAAATTAGTACTTGTACTTGGTTGGCTAGTCTGTCCAAATGGGTGGGACTTAAATTTACAGCGAGCCCACAGAGCACAAAAGTGTCAAACAAAAAGAATCCCTCCAGATGGCTCGCTCTAGGCCTAGAAACCGATTTTTAACGGATTTTAATTGTTTAGGCCTAGGCTTACTATTGTAGGTCATGTCATGTTTAGGCTTATGGAGAAAAAAAGGTCGAACAGAGAAAGGTGGAAAGGGGGGGAGGGGGATGCATGATTGAAAGTGAGCACGCCAGTCGACGTGACCATAGATGACCTACATAATAATAGACGAGATCTCCGTCGATTGAACTATAGTCTATAGGCCTACTATTAATATTATTTCCCGAGAAGAAGAAAATCAGAAGCAGAGTAAAACAAAAAAAACCCCCCAAAAAAACCCGCAACACCACACTCAAGCCACAACATTTTAGTGTAGGTCTACGTACAGTTAATAAACTTATACCAGATCTACATGTATAGTCTGTGGCCATAGCCTCCATAGCCTATTAACGGCGTCCACTGCAGGCTAGGCTACAGCTGTGGCTTTTTTTTTTTGTGAAGCAAGATAATGTAGGACATCATCTCAGATAATTAGGTTAAAAGATTAATAAAGAAATCAACAAAAACAACTACTAGCTAATAGAGAGAAAAAATTAATAATAATAATAATAATAATAACGATATTATGATACAAATTGTGAAATGGGGCGGGCACAAAACATCGATCTAGTGGGGAAAGTTTTATCTTTTATTTGCACTTGTTCACATTTCTACTTTTCATGTCTGATAGTGAGAGAAGTTTTATTTTATTAGGCAATTTTTTATTTTTTTAAAAATTAAAAACATTTCTCTGTGGGTAGAATTCTGTGGATTATAATAATCATCATCATAGCCAGGCTTTGGCTTGGCTGGGATTTCCTATTTCCACTCCAGTTCCAGGGGAATAACTGCTACTACTGCTACCTAGGCTACTGCTGGGCTACCATACGATGGCTAAGTAACTAGGTAAGCGAAACGAGCTTTCAAGGCTCATATAGTTATAGATCTAGATCTATATGCTATTGTTTAAAACAGAGTACAGCAGGTAACGAGCCTTATTTTCAACATTTTATTCTCATACCCCACTAGCAATTTCCAACAGCATATGATTGCTGTAGGCCTACAATCTAGATCTACTCTTCCTTCTCCGGTATCAACGTTGTGAGGCTGTAGACTACTGTAGACTAGACTACTGTAGGCAAAGTGGGGCTCTTTCAACTTTGGGAATTGCCTTCCCGTTTGTTTACATGATGTACAGCTAGATAGATCTAGATCTAGAAACAGATCCGAAGTGATTGCTAAGAACAAAAGTGACCATGTAGTTGATGTTGGCTAAATGAACCCTACCACGTACATTAGCCAGTAATATTTTTGGCCGGCACTATTTCTCCGAACGTTCGGGAAAATAAAGCTGGGCACTATTTCTCCGAACGTTCAGGAAAATAAAGCTGGGCACTATTTCTCCGAACACTTTGAAATATCATCCTTTCCCCCAAATTTCGGATATTATATAGATCTATAATTATAGTATGGGCCTACCAAAGATTGTTCGTATACAATATGGTTCAATCGGTCCAAAAAATGTCCGCCGTAAATATTTATATAAAGAAATGCTACAATTCCAAACAGTTTTTCGCTATAGATATGACGTGTTGCCTATGAAAGGTGCTGCTTTTAAACGTAATGTGTTGTGTTCACTCGTGTGCTGTCTAGATCTAGATCTACGGAGGGTTATTGATAATGACACACAGAACTGGCATCTGCGTTTGTCACTGCTGCGACCAATGTACTGACACTGGCAAGCCCCTTAATGTGTGTGATTCCATAATTTACATGTAATATCCTGTACTTTTTTTAAAATTACGCACATTTAGGGTTAAAACTGCCAATCTTCTTCGGACAGGTGGACACACGCCCTTATTTGTTAATGTTTGTTGTTGTTTATGGGCTGTTCTAATTTTGATTTCTTTCTGTTATGAAACCTTTCTTTTTCACGTTTTTACACTCATCTAAAAATCTCATCTAGACTAGCTGTTGAAAATTTAAATAGATATAGATCTAGACCCAAAAATTTGCTCCTGTGTGTGTGTGTGTGTGTGTGTATGTATGTGTGAGTGTTTGAGTGTGTCCGTGTGTGGTAGTAAGTGGAGAGTGAGGAGTGTGTGTGTGTGTTTGTTTGTTTTTCGGGCTTTATTTCAGCCTTTATTCAGTAACAGTTCAAAGTATACAAAAATAGAAACACAGGATCCATTCACTCCAGGACTCATGAGTCATTCGTCTCTTTCAGTTTCACTCTTTCATTCAATTCCCGTGTTCTCTCCCGCGGCTCATCCCCGTCCGCATGACTTTCATACCCCACCCCATCCCTCCAGGCACACACAAAGAAAATCTCACTTGTTCCCTGCGAACCATGGACAATAATATAGGCAAAACACCGCCTGAGCTGCATTCCTTTTGTTCGTGAGCTGTGGACCAGGCCAGGGGTGGTCAGTGTCGTCGTCTTTTAGTTGCTGTCGCCTGTGGATACACTCGCACATTCTTCCTTTCACCCGCTCTTTCACTCACACTGTCTCTCCATCCACAGTTCAGCTCGTCATACGTTCAAAAGTTGCCCACTAGTTATGTTTAGTTAGTGTGTGTACATGTGCATGATGGTGGTGGGTGTGTGGTGGGTGTTACTGAAGGTTGTCTGTAGGCGGGCTTGCCATGCGGTACGTGTTCCTTCCCAGACCAGAGGCAGAATGAAAGTTGGCGCCGAACTCTCGCAATAAATAGGCAAAAAATCACGAGACCGGAAGCCGAAAACCATTCGGAGAAATAAAGATCGGCACTATTTCTCCGAACGTTCGGAGAAATAGTCACTTCGAATATTTTTCTCCATTTTTAGTATTGGAAATTTATTTTGGCCAGATTGAACTTTGATTGACCCACTGTGTTTACATGTGTATTATAACATCTAATCTGTCCTTTGGGTTTTATGCACCCCACATAATTTAGCAAAATTTTATCATTTTTTGCATAATTTCTGATAGTTTGCATAATTTCAGATTGTTTTTTTGCTGAAAAACGCAGGGACAATAATATTATAATGCGCACCAGCCATATAACAGCAGTGGGGGGTTTCAGGGGGGCTTGCAATTGGCTAGCTTGATACCTTAGAGCGTAGGCTGTTGCCGTATTATTTCGAATGTTTGGAGCGCAGTTTTCTAGGGTAGGCCAGCTCTGCAGCTCTTTCAACTGGGATGTTATAAATATGAATATATATGATTTCTCAGGGTTCCTTTGACTCCCTCAATCCATCTTTTGCATGGTCTTCTTCTTCCTTTGACATTCATAACAGATATAGCCGAACCATTTTAATTTTTCTATTCTATGTTTTTCTATATAGAAATGCACACTGGACTTTGTGCCAATGTTGCTCTCTTCTTCATTTCTCTGCCCACCTCTTCTTGTGATGTTAAGGATTTTGCGGAGACATTTCATCTCGCATATATGTTTTTTAGTTTAGTATTAATTCAATAATAAATAAAATAGTTCTTCAATAACAGGCATCCGGACAGAATAACAGTTGTACAGTTGATGAACATTCGCATGACTGTAGCGGTACCCGCTACAGCGGGACCTTACTGGAATCCCCTTTTTTTTTTCTTCTATGTAAACTCAATTATTTGTGCTCGGGTTTAGCTGGGCAAGGAAAGTCCGGAACTCGGGTACAGCGGGAGAGATGGAGCGAGCTCTAGCTGGGGGGAAAGGGGATGGGGGGCTGTAGGCGAGATCAAAACAGGCAGTCAGCTGTGCAGCGTTGTGATTGGCCAGTCCAGTGATGAGCGAGGTGGGGCAAGTGGCAGAGAGAGATGGTGCGGAGAGACGCGTTATGTGAGGCACTCCAAAAGTGATGTGCCATAGTTTAGACGCTCAATATGAGAGCGTATAGGCCTCAGCCCTAGGCCTAGGCTAGGCCAAAAAGTAAGCGTATAGTGTGTAATTCCTGATTCATTGAATTGCGATCGTTGATGCTCATGGGCATATGCACGCTTCCACTTCACCAGTTTTACAGTAGGCCTAACAGTATAATAGACGGCACAAACAACGAGGAAAAGATGGCTTCCAACAAAGACAAACGGAAATGCTTCTCATTCGTATTTAAAGCCGAGATAATCAGCAAAGTTCACAAGAAAAGGAATACCAATGAAAAACGCAAATTTTATTGATATAGAGGGGAGGTAATCATTTTGATATTTAGAAATTTTTCTGTAATTTCCCTTTTGCATTCCTATAGCAGGAACTCGCCTACAGCGGGATTTTTCTTCTGGAATCAAAAGTCATGCTATTGCCATGTTCTACTGCACTACCATCAACATAGATAAGTGCTCCTTTTCGGATTTCCCAAATGTGATGACTGTTCAATTATAAGGAACACATGTTTGTAAGTGAACAGAGCGTTCTGTAGACTCTGTAGAGATGTGTTTAAAAAATGCAAGTATTATCATGATTATTTATTATATTATGATAGTACTTATGCGTCTCAAATTGTGTCATGAAGCGCTGAAATCAAGCACTTGTCAATTTTCGTGCATGTGGCGTTATTTGCATCATCTTAAAGCTTGTTCATTTATTTGTCTTGCGTTTGATCCAAAAAAATATCTCTTCAGGAAATTAAAAAGTGTTTTTCCTTTATTTTTCTTCTCTTGTTATGACAACGCGTTCCATAAATTCTTTCTTTAATTATGGTTGGTGGAAACTATGTCTGTGTCAACTCTCGAGTACTTTGGAAGATCCACAACTTCCCCTATTAACTATTATCTGATTTCAGAATCTGCGACCCTCTGAACTGATGATCATCTATAGTTGTCTCGGAATCTCACACATTACTGATGTTTATCCCAAGTGAGTATGTGTGGATTTTTCTTGAATTTTCACTTGTAGTTTGTTTTTCTTTTGGTCAGAAACTGATTCCTCCTACCTTACTGTACTGTTAAGTCTGAGACATTTCCTGCTTCGTCTTATCATGTCCTGTTCCGCCCAAATGCCTGTATGTTGGTGGTTGGCAGATGCTCTGGTCTGGTCTGCTCCTTAAAATTCTTTCTTGTTAAAAGATCTATCATCCTCATCTCTCTTCATTCTTTTTTTGTGTTTGTTACTCTGTTTTACCAGTGTTGGTGATTTTTTTAATAAAAAAAAAAAAAGAAAAGATTTTTAAAATTTAAATGAGATTTTAAAAATTTAAATCAGATTTTTATAATTTTTTAAAAGTAAAACAAAAAAATGTTGACTCAGTTTGGAATTTTTAGTTGCTAAAAGTATGTTCTTTTAGTGCAAAATGCATTTTCTTTATTTATTTTAACTAATGATTAATTTAAGCAACTGCAAAAAAAAAGCCTTAATCTTCTATATCAATGAATTATGATCATGGTCACAGACAAAAAATGAAGAAAATGTTTGTGTTTTTCTAAAAATAAAAAAGAAGAAAATGCTATAATTTCAATTAAACAAAAAAGTAAATTGAATACTGTATTATATTGTGTTTCTTTTCAAACCTTCAACTCCAAACAACTCAATGGGTAATTTCAATATATGATCTAAATTGTTGGTTATTGTAATATCCTTCTGTTAATATTGTATGAAAGTGATAATATATACTTTCAAAATTCCTTCAGTTGCCATTTTGTTCCTTGCAATAATATCTGATATTATTTTTGTTACCTTGTGATTTATTTATTAATGTTTTTATTCTCATCAGGCACAATTGATTTAATCACTGACATTCAATAAATTGTTATCTAAGTTTACAGTTAATGGCGCTTGTGTTTGTCTAACAAAAACAAAGAAAATGCTAATTTCAATTATGAAAAATAAGTAAATTGAATTGGCCATTTTCTTGCTAATTTTACTTCTGAAACCAGGCAGCCCCCACCTCCTACAATTGCAAATAATTTGACTTTTTTTCAAAATAGTTGGGTATTTTTTTCATCTAAATCATGGCAAATGAAAAAGCTTTATGTTATGATTATACTAATAACACTATGTGAGGCATCATGGTGAAATCAGGCGCTCGTCAAATTAATGAAATCAAAGAAATTGGCATTGTTTTGGCAGATGGGCAATTTTTTTTCTAATTTTCTGTTTTTTGAATCAATACAATTGATGTTCATTTAAAAACGTATAAATTTGTGTGGATTTTTAGGCCTACTGAGAAACATTGATTAACAGTACAAAAAAAGTAAATTTTCAGTTTCAAAAGACTCTCAGGCTATGGTAGCTACCAAACTTTGGCGCCTATTTTCTCGCTAATTTTGCCATCTTTATTATTGAGTCAACTTTTTTAACGTATTATAATTGTAGGTATTTTACACCCCTATGAACACCATAATCATCCAGGAGGTTGGAGCTTTGAGTACTTTGACCCTGACAGTCAGGACCACCATGAGCAGAGAGTAGAGAGGAATTCAAAGTCTCTGCTTCCCCTCAAGAATCAAACTCATTTTATGTTGTGCATGTGACGCCGAAGCGCCTGAATGCTACTCATTCCACAGACGTTCGTAGTCACCTTCTGTTTGCTCATCAAAGTTGCTGCTGTTTCTTGGTTTCTTACTTTTCAGTTTCAACTGTCCACAGTCTAGCAATAAGCATGCACAGTTGAGAAAAACGCATCTATATATGTATCATGTATATGTGAGGCAGCGTGGTGAAATCAGACACTAGTCAAAATAATTAAATCGAAGATATCTGCATTTTCCCGCAGGTTTATCAATTTTTACAGAATTTGTGTTTTTTGCCCTAACACCTTTTATATCCATTTAAAAATACTTTTTTATGTGGATTTTACTTATTTTTAAATGTTGATTAAAGGCACGAAAATGGAGATTTTCAGGTATCAAGGACTCTCAAGCTATGGAAATCACCAAACTTTGGTGTCCATTTCTTCGTTTATTTTACCTTTGAAACCAGGTGACCCCACCTCGTTCAATTTCAAATATATCTCAACATCCACGGAAAACTTTCTTCTCTAAAATGTTCTCCTTTCACCTCCTTTCCTGCTCTCTTACCATGTTCTGTCGCCTGGTTTCGTCTCCACTACTTTAATGAAATGATCTTTGAATTCAAAATGGTTTTCAATATTACAGAAGTGATCCATGCATTTTTAAGTCATAAGTGGACATCATTAATGCTGTCTGCAGTTTATACACCATGGGAGAGCACCTAGATCATTGTGACTGGGGTTTTTCAAATTTTTCAAAAGGAACTGATTTTTCACCATTATATCCGTGAACAATACCTGGAATTTCGATTTGCAGTGTATTTTTCCCCTTCCCAGTGCGCTGAAAAGAGAGTTTTTTTGCCAACACCCCGAGTTATGACACAAGCTGCTACCTTGAGACACAAAGCGTGTGGATAAATATTTATGTATGGAGATTGTCTTTAATTTTGCTTTGTGGAAGCAGTTAGACTATGCGTGTTTCCAATACAGCAGTCTTCCCTATATGTTGTTTTTGTGTGTCTGTTCTTCATTACTTTTCCCTTCACGAAATATTAATTGTGTCGATGGGATTCCCTTTACCGCAGGTGTCAGTGGGGACACTTTCTGATCTCCCATCCTGCGGGTGGTTGGCAGGTGCTCCAGTGTGGTTTGCTCCTTCTTTCCTATCAAACATCTATCGTCCTTATCTCTCCTCCTTCTTTTTTGTGTTTCTAACTCTATTGTAACACCTCTAATCTTCTGCACTTATATGACCTTATTGTGTTGCAAGTGCCGTAAAACCTCTACTAAAACTAAAACTAACTTATTGTGTTGATGGGATTCTCTTTACCACAGGTGCCAGTGTGCCATGGGGACATTTTCTGATCTCCCATACGGGCAGGAGCTGTGTCTCAGCGCTGGACCTGGCTAGCTGCCATCTGTCAAGGGGTCAAGTCTGTCCCTGTGGTTTTATGCGAAAAAAATTATGAAATTATGCAAATTGAGCCCTTTTAACAAGGAATGATAAAGGAAAATAATAAGAAATTATGCAAAATTAAGCGGGGTGCATAAAACCACGGGGACAGTCCAGTGAAGGTGCTTGCATGGAACGTCTGGTTGGTTGGTACTTCTTGTTTTCTTTTTTTTTTGTGGGTTAATTTTTTTTTTATTCAAGAAAAATGTTTTACTCTCACTTTGACACAATTTAGATGATAAGGGAGGTGGGTGGGCTTATTCAACCCTGCTGTCAAGGTCAACTTGGACTGAGTGGGATATGACTTCTCAGTAGACCGACAGAGAATTTCGATGAAAACTTTCCGGCTCAGGAATTGAAATCATGTCTTCTGCCTGTTTAGAACTGTCAGGGGAGAGGAGGGGAGAGAATATCCAACGTGTGTGATGGTTAAGCGAGCAAGATTGGATTGTTCCATGTGATAAGCGATTAAAAATTAATTTTTTATTTTTTTATTATT